AGATCTGCCTGTTCCCAACAGGATGGCTTCACAAGTGTGCAGCCCTGTGCACCTGCAGAGGAGTGAAAGGAAAGCCAAGGGCACTTGCACTTGCGCTCTGAAACAGCCTGAACAGGAATGTTGCTAAGAATACCCTAGAGCTTTGTGGTGAGCACTCTCTCCTGCCATCTGGGTGTAAATCTCTGCAGGCAGAAAGAACAGGACGTGGACCTCGCACAGACACTTTCTCTGGTACCCACTTCTGCTCATCTCACACAACCAGCAGCACCTCCAGGATGTCAGCCCAGAGTCAAACTCATCAGTAGGGCCCAGTGATACCTATCTTCAGCTTTCCTTAGCTTTCAGATGGCACTGAGTCCAAAAGCAGGTCTGTACTTCACCCCAAGTCAGAGGGATGGCCAAGGCCAGTGGTCAGCACATAGCATCAGCAGCAGCATTTTGCTCCATGCTGTCTCTGAGAACAGTGGAGTCCTGAGCAATTTGAAGTTAAATAGGGCAGAGCATATGGTAACTTGATGCCATGTTCCACAGCCTCTGCATCAGGTTTAGTGCATCCTCCCTCAGCTTTAGGAGAACATGAAAATCCTAGACACAGGCTATAAAGTGCAGGCAAGCAGTAAAGGGATATTTCTATCACTCCAGGCAGGTCTGCCCTTTAATTACTGACACAGCCAGAAACTGCTGATATCTGACACCATTTCCATTAGTTCATAATGCACTGACTTTAGATCCTCCCCTCATAAGCTTTCTACTAATGTTTGCACCTGATCTTCCTTCTCTCTGCCTCCTTTTTGTCTTAGTAAGTTCCTAGTCCTTTTCCCTGGAGCATTACTCAACACCCCGTGCCACACGCACGCTTCATGAAAAGTTATCATTATCCCAGTGCTTCCCCCTCTATACCTCACATAGTGATTTGTTCCCAAAGCCCTTTGGGAGCAAAGAACCCATTCCTTTATAGGTCATGCAAAACAAAACACAACCACTTCCCAGCAGCAGAAAAAGGATGCAAGCTGTCACATAACCTGCAGTGTCTTCATGCAGCACCATAGCTCTAAAGATTTTCAAAGCCTCCCCTTCCTCTTTTAAAAAAAGTTTCATTTCCCCTTCTCATTTTCCCAGTTTCTACCCAACAAAATCATTCTTCACTCTCTAATTTACCTCAAGCCCCCAGTGCACAAACATCATAGGGGTTTTTTTCACAGTATGAAACAGTTTGTACCACCAATTTTCTTTTCCCAACATTTACATTTTAATTTTTCAGTAAAAACTGAAGTCCCACACTCTACCTGTGTTAGCTCAAAGGATATACTACACTCATCTTGGAGCTGAAGAGGATGGACAATTTTTGGGTGCGATATTTGAAGAGCAGCACATCCAAACACAACAGCAGGGGAATGGCTTTCTCTGTGACTCCTACCTCTTGTCCTCCAGTTACAGGATGTATTCTGACACTCTGGAGAGAAAGTCACTGCTCTAGTAAAGGAAGGAAAAAAAATGAACAGGACAACAAGCTGATTCTATACATCACCCAAAGAGCTAACAGAGTTTATTTCTAAAACAGCTGGAATCCCATATTTGACAAAGTTGCAGACAGATGGAGCTTTCAGAACCAGGTTGACACTAAAGGAAACTTAAAACACTTTTGCTGGCACAGCTACAATGGAGCAGTGCTGAATTCCCTGCCAGATGGAGCTGTCATTCAAAGATCCCTGGTAGAGCTGGTGATGCCAGCAAAAATCTGTGCTTTTCTTGGGAAACATGCTTCACAAGGAGGATTTGGGGAAAGCAAGGAAACTTTGGCAGCAGAGATGTCAGTTTTCCAGCCTGAAAGCATCCCACATTAAGAGCATCTGGTGAGTCTATGCACCCAGCCCTGTCATAACAGCAAAACGTGCAGGCATACCTTAGCCCTGTGGACATGCACAAAAACCAAAAGGGAAGTAGTAACTTACTTCTCCTGATCCAGTATAAACAAGTGCACTTGCAGCAAAACATATTCTTTGGACAATCACAAAGCATAGTTCAGAAGTTCTTTGGCTGTTGGACTGCATGAAATTCCCTGATTTTTTCCCCATACAGTGACAAGTGACAGTGATGTGGGAAGCCGAAAGAAAGATGCTAGTATAGTGCCAGGAGAGGGCCCATGATTCCAGCAGAAAGTGGAAACAGTCTTTTCTTCAGAGCAAAGAACTCAGGCTCCAGCCCCAGTCCTTATAAGCTGCTTCTCCCCACTGCCACCACAGTGCTGAGGTCTCGGCTGCATTCACACTGTCTGCAGCAGAACATTGGCCAAGAGGGGTTAAAGCTTGCAGGAAGGTTCCTACTGTCTATCTGAGGTGATATCTCAGGAGGTGAAGGAGAAATAGAGCATGTCCCTTTCATCTAGGGGAACAGAAGAGGTTGTATCCTTAAATATCTACCATGTCAGTCCGAATTAAAGTCAGTCCAAATTAAAGTTGCTGGTTTCCAAAAACTATAGTTATGTCAGTCTTGACAGGACTGGTGATCAAGCACCCCTGTTGTAAAAAATTACACACACATATGTGTGTGTGTTTGTACCTTCCCCTGCAAGTATTTTCACTCCAAGTGACCAGAATGAAGTCTCTTGTCATGTATGTCCATTTGATTGGTCCTGTGCTGGCAGGGCGAGGAAGCCTAAACTATCACTGACACTGCTGACAGTGGATTTCTGTCTGAGAAGAATGTTTGTTCTCTTGAGCCAGAGAGACTCTGAAGCATGTTCAGTTCATGGTGAAAAGAAAAAAATGGGCCGTTTCTGACCAAATACAAAACATATCATCTGAAGGTATGGGGCAGAAAAGCAGGCCAAAGTCAGACATTGTAAAGAAATTTAAAATAGTCAATATTAAAATAGTACTATTATAACTGCCTGCTATGTAATTCTATTTAAATAATTCTCTACATTAATGTCAAAGCAGTTTCTCTTGGAGTGAATGTATATGCCTTCATCCACAAACAGCAGACTTTTGTGCTTTCAAGTTGTTTCCTGCTCTATGCTGCTGTAGTTAGGGCACTTATGAAAAGGAATGGCAAGAAGAATCACAGAAACTAGACACTGTGAGGAGGGGGATCCCTACCTCTCCAGGTTATCTGCTCAGTTATTTTCATTTACTTACTCAAAATTTTTGACCCTTTAGCAGTTGGCCAATTTCTCTTGTCAAAGAGATTAAAAGAAAAATTCTAAGTAAAGATACATATATTAAGATGAGAGAAAAAAATAAGGTGGCAACGAATAGCAACGTATCATGACCTGCTATGAGGCACAAAAAGATTTTTCCCAGAGGACCACTTAATTACGTAGCAGCATTGATGCAGAATTTCAGACAAAAAGAAAAATACATAGCAGGCCAGAAAAATGCTTTTTCCTCCGCTTTGGCCCTGGTAAACTTTATAAATCCTAGTTTTTGCAGAAACATGCTGCACCATCATGCAGTAGTCTTGATAGAAGAGACCAGCTTATAAGTACAAGTTCTACTTCACAGCTAGACATGAAAGGGGAAGCACCAAGGTGGAGGAGGGGCCTGCGGTTCCTTTTTCCCTGCAAAGAATTTCCAGCTCACCAGAGATGCACTGCAAAAGGAAAGACAAAGGCATCAAGAAGGCATTGTCTCAGCCTTGAAGTTATGTAGAACTCCATGATTGTACCAGGCTGGACAAAACTGAACTGTTCTGTCTGTCCAGGCTCTGGCCAGAGTTTCCAAAACCATGGATCCCAGCTGAGGCAGAGGAAGGGACAAGCCACAAGTAAGAGTGAGAAAGAAGCACATTGCTCCATTCACAATGGCATTCTATAAACACTGTTAGATTTCAAAGAGAATAATTTATAGAAAATGCACAAAAATTTACTACAGAACAGGCCTTACTGTATAAAGGAAAAGAAAAAGATCCCACAAACCATTAAACATGTATTTTTGGGTATATATTTTCCTGTATTTGGCAAAGGGAAGTTTTTAAAAATCTTTGATTGCTAATAACCTGTAAAAATTCGTGGAAAAAATCCCTCATTTCATCATGGACTGTTGGGGTTAGGAGGGAGTGTGTGCAGTGATGTATTTAAGTTGCAGTTCATAATTTTTCATGCTGGCTGAGCTTATGTCCACAGTTCTGATAGAGGTAACAATCTGATAGAGGTAACAAAGAATTGGGTCAGCTCATCCAGGCACAATTTAGTTTGTAACAGTTCCTTTGTTAAACAAATATCCTTGAAAGTTAAGAATCAGTTAGGAATTTGAAGGATTCCCCTTATGTAAACAGATGGAGGAAATCAAAACCAATTTTTCCATCCTGAAAGGAGAACCAAACAACAGTCCAAATGAGTTTTAAATGCACTTATTACAAATAGCTGGAAATTACCACAGCCCAGCTTGTGAGACAGAAGTTGTTGTTCTCCGTAAAGCTCAAAACAAGCAGATTCTCCATTATAAACTTCTTTGGGTGGGGTGGGAAGTGAGGGGAGCTGAAAACTTTGGTTCACAATGTTGTCTTGCATAGGCATTCAAGTGGATCTTCCAAAGCTACTGGCTGTCCAGTCTAGTAACAAAATACCCATGCTCTCTCCTCAGTAGTGGACGCTCCTCTTCGGTATCCTATTTTGTAAGGCAGATGTCTTGCAGAGATGATGGAGTCATACAGATGCACCTTTGAAAAGGAAAACAGTGTCACTTGCATTCCCACAAACAAATTCATCTGCTTTATTAAAGAACACACAGGAAACCTTCTTTTGGTAAGGGGTGGGGAAGGGATAAAAGAAAGCTCTGATATGTTTGCTATTAGCTAGAAGCAAGTTATTTTGCTCTTGTAGTTATTTGCTAACAGCTGTCAGTAGCTCTGAGATGTCTGTGTTGACAGAAAATATGGAATTATTGCTTTGTGAGTAACTTTAAGTAAAAACAAACAGGACATTAATAAATCCTTCCAGGTAGACATAGCCCTGTGGCAGAAAATATAAATATTCATATTGGGAAGCATTCTGGCAGTTATTAACCATGATACTTACTTGTTGACTGCGTGATGCACGAAACCTTGTAGGATGACCACATGCTTAAAACACAGAGTATTGTAGCCAGGAACCCGAAAGTCTGCATGAGAAAACAAATAAACCACAAATACTTACAGAGCAGTAGATGACACATATTCCATGCATGTATATTCAGCTACATATTTTATGACATTAATAGACCAAAAAAAGTGATATTTTTACTCCATTCTGCCACAATACTAAAAAAATTAAAGTTTGTGTAGTATAATAGCAGCTTATGTCTTGTCAAAACAATGACTGAAAAGGTAGACTGACAGTCATATAAAATGAGGGAGAAAAAGCTGGACAGCAGCATTGAGTCTCATCCTCTAAACTTCTCACTAGGTTTCTGCAACAAAGAAAAGACTGTTTCTAACACCTCCGATTACTGCTCTTTTACTGCCCCATTCAAACAAGTTGTTCCCTGTTTTCTGCCAAATAAACAAGTTAGGTAAGTCTTCTAGTCTGTTTGCATCATCAAGACTAAGTTTCTGAAAGTAATTCTTTATTCTGGAGGAGTTGTATTTCAGGTCCTGCTGCTGTGGAAATACTGTCACCCACACTTGTAAGTCATGCCTCTCTCTGTAAAGTCCTTCAGCCAAAAGAGCAGAGAGCATCTGTCAGTAAGTCAGCTCAGAATCCCACTGGGTTTTAGCTCAGGAGAAATCATCTTGAACAGGGCTCTGTTCAGGAGCAGGAGGCATCACAAGCCAAAGAATGGGGTGAAATCCTTTATGTACCTTCCAGGTGCCTCACCAGTCCTTTATAAAAACTGAATTGTCTTAATTCTTTCC